CTGCTCCGTGGATCAGTGGGTAGATGGAATATTGCTCAGTCTCCCATCCCCCTGTCAGTTCCCTCAGGCAGTCGAGCCGATGGCTGTACGGTCCTGCCGGATGCAGCAGGTGTACAGAACTCCTGTGCCATCATGTGCAAGTGAGCTCATCCAGCAGCCGGGCTTCAATGGGATAAGAGCTCTCCTTTTCTTTTTTTTAATGGGATTTCTCAAGCTATTCCTGCTTTATTGAAGCATCAGCTTTAGCATCCAAAGAAGCAGAGCTGTATATGGCAATGAAGAGGGTTACACTCACCTGCAGGGTTTTTAAATTTAATAACTTGGTGTTGGTAAGGTTCTCTTATAATTGATCTTCTTTTCTATTCCTTAGGAGCCTTGCATCTTTTGGGATCTCTTGATCATCTCAACAGCAGCGTGGCATTTTTTTCATAAGTGTTATCTGGTCCTCAGGTGAGGCTGCTCTGTGTTGAAGATGCTACAGACACTCAGGTTTGCAAGTAGTCAGTGGGGAGTTACAGTCCAGAGCTGGAGGGAGGGCTGGGGTGCCAGCTTACATCTTGCCAGGGGTGTTTTGAAGGTAGTATGGGTGTAAAGCAGTGTCCAGGAGCCCCCTAAATGCCTGTGAAGGCACCCACTGACTTTTCAGATGTGCCACTTAAGTTTTCCTCTGGTTCACCCAGCTATTCTGTGCCATTACAGCTGCAGTCTTTGGCTGCAGGCAGTGACCCTGGGGGGTTTGCCTGAAGAGAAGGGAGGCTCTTTCAGCTCTCCCCATCTGTCTGGGTGAGCTACCCTAGGAAAGCCATCATTTCAGGCAGTGTCTCAGTCTGTACATTTGCCTTTGGCTTTTTTACTTTGCAGACAATGTGTGCAGCCTTAGAGGGCCGGAGTCACCTGCCAGTTAGGTTTGATGGTCTTCAGCTGTCCTTGTGAGTAATACTCTAGTACTACGATTGTCATCAATTAAGGCTGGACCTTTTCCAGCTGCATGTGCTATCTGGCCTTCCTTTGGCCAAGGAGGAGCATTGAGGTTCAGTAAGGGAGGTAGGGAGGAGGTGCTGGGGTCTCCCTTTTTTTTTCGGAAACACCCCGTAACTGTTTTTCTCCCTCCCCCAGGTACGGCACACGGTGACGGCAGCAGCCTCTGACTGGGGTTGGAGCCTGTGGCCCGAGAACCTCTCAGCTCAGGGGAGGGTGAGTAGCCAATTGCAGGGTTATCTCCCACGTGCTGCCCAACTCTTGTGTCAGTTTTGGTTTCCTTTCTCTCAGGGAAACCGAGTCAGGGATCACAGGACCCTCTGAGCCAGCCGGGCGTCCTTCCTTCCCATCGAAGATGGATTTATATCCCCAGCTGTGGGAAAGATAAGTGGAGGACTAGCACCTGGAGAGGGGATGAGAGCTGGGTCCAGT